TACTTCTAAACACAAAATAATTACTACCTATACGTTAAGTTATTAACCAACGGCTATTAGCACGCATCGTTTTATTATTATTATTGTTATGCCATTCTTCATAGTTCAAATAATCTTCACCCAAATTTTCATTTCAAGAGTTTTAAGCATGAAGGCAGATATTTTAAAATTATTACATGTATTTCCCGACAAGATGCTGCCGCCTTCTTTTTGATTTATCTTTCAGCTTACCAATACACAGAGGATTCTTATTGTCCTTGGTAACCTCCAGCGCACGACGATCCCATACAATTTGGTATCGAACCAACATCACGTTGATTCTGGTGGGAGAGTAGTGTAGTGGCATTGGACAATAGCCACACAATCCACAAAGCTGTGAACACGAGACTACTCAGAAAATAGATATTCAATATTTAACGCGGAGAAATACCTAACAATGGAGAAGGCGCGAACAATGAATTGAATGGACTGGATTTGATCGGATGGCATGGCTCGGCCATGCAGGCGTGGTCCATCTAAATGTTACCTTATATCTTCTATTCATGTTAAATATATTGTTCCTTATCTAGCCTAACGTCGTTCTACATCATGTATTAGTAATTGATACGATACAGTGAGTTAGTGTAGTCGATGATGTGACTTCCACGTAAGATCTTATTAACAAAATCGGTCAACAAATTGACTTATAATTACCATTAAATGGTGTTGTTTTCTTGGTATCTTCATCCATCACAGATGATTACAGTATGTTTCTCTATCAGTTGCTCATTCAGTAAATATCTCAAAACCTTGTCAGTCTAATTGATGGTTTAGTGACACAATCATGCATGCAAATAATCAGTATAAGCAGTTGAGCAAATCTCCTGCAAACTGAAAACATCAATGTCGGATTTACCCCAACACTGACTAAGGTTCAAGCCATTATCATAGACATGAGTTGGGAGTGTGCTCCCCCTGGTTACAACTTATGTTCTCTCTGATAATCACATGAACATCACTCACTATTAATCATCTTGTAAATCTTATTTAGCTAAATACATCTTGCAGCACCACATCACTTCGTAATATGACACAGGCCTAACTGATTTTAATAACTTATAACCACTATATCTCAATTAAATCGTATTCCGACTTATGATAAACTGCATACTTGCAACTGACTTGTATGCCCAATCAGCCAGCAAGTATAAATATAAATAAATAGTCTGCCACAGATCAGAACATTGAGTCTAGAGCATGTCTCTTACGAATACACTCATGTTTAACGATTTGTTCCTAGCTGTCTGTCCAAAATTCATATAATTATCACTCACGTATTTAAATTTTGTTTTGATATACATTCATGTGTATTAGTAGTATTACTAAATTCTATCACGGTCAAGTAAAAATGAGGTTGAGAAAATCTCCCCGTAACTAAATAAACCGTATCAAACTAACTGGAACACTAGTTGGAATTCTCCACGGTAATATTTTTGTTCATTCAGTTAGCCTACTAATACAAATGCGATTGGAAATCAACTCATATGGACAACATACCGGCATAATTGTAGATTGATTTCATAATTTTAACCAAAACTAATACCGATATTAATATTTCTACAACATTCATTACTTTAGTACTTCTAAACACAAAATAATTACTACCTATACGTTAAGTTATTAACCAACGGCTATTAGCACGCATCGTTTTATTATTATTATTGTTATGCCATTCTTCATAGTTCAAATAATCTTCACCCAAATTTTCATTTCAAGAGTTTTAAGCATGAAGGCAGATATTTTAAAATTATTACATGTATTTCCCGACAAGATGCTGCCGCCTTCTTTTTGATTTATCTTTCAGCTTACCAATACACAGAGGATTCTTATTGTCCTTGGTAACCTCCAGCGCACGACGATCCCATACAATTTGGTATCGAACCAACATCACGTTGATTCTGGTGGGAGAGTAGTGTAGTGGCATTGGACAATAGCCACACAATCCACAAAGCTGTGAACACGAGACTACTCAGAAAATAGATATTCAATATTTAACGCGGAGAAATACCTAACAATGGAGAAGGCGCGAACAATGAATTGAATGGACTGGATTTGATCGGATGGCATGGCTCGGCCATGCAGGCGTGGTCCATCTAAATGTTACCTTATATCTTCTATTCATGTTAAATATATTGTTCCTTATCTAGCCTAACGTCGTTCTACATCATGTATTAGTAATTGATACGATACAGTGAGTTAGTGTAGTCGATGATGTGACTTCCACGTAAGATCTTATTAACAAAATCGGTCAACAAATTGACTTATAATTACCATTAAATGGTGTTGTTTTCTTGGTATCTTCATCCATCACAGATGATTACAGTATGTTTCTCTATCAGTTGCTCATTCAGTAAATATCTCAAAACCTTGTCAGTCTAATTGATGGTTTAGCGACACAATCATGCATGCAAATAATCAGTATAAGCAGTTGAGCAAATCTCCTGCAAACTGAAAACATCAATGTCGGATTTACCCCAACACTGACTAAGGTTCAAGCCATTATCATAGACATGAGTTGGGAGTGTGCTCCCCCTGGTTACAACTTATGTTCTCTCTGATAATCACATGAACATCACTCACTATTAATCATCTTGTAAATCTTATTTAGCTAAATACATCTTGCAGCACCACATCACTTCGTAATATGACACAGGCCTAACTGATTTTAATAACTTATAACCACTATATCTCAATTAAATCGTATTCCGACTTATGATAAACTGCATACTTGCAACTAACTTGTATGCATCATCAGCCGTCAGGTATAAATATGTATAAATAGACTATGGCAACTCAGAACATTGAGTCTAGAGTATGTCTCTTACGAATACACTCATGTTTAACGATTTGTTCCTAGCTGTCTGTCCAAAATTCATATAATTATCACTCACGTATTTAAATTTTGTTTTGATATACATTCATGTGTATTAGTAGTATTACTAAATTCTATCACGGTCAAGTAAAAATGAGGTTGAGAAAATCTCCCCGTAACTAAATAAACCGTATCAAACTAACTGGAACACTAGTTGGAATTCTCCACGGTAATATTTTTGTTCATTCAGTTAGCCTACTAATACAAATGCGATTGGAAATCAACTCATATGGACAACATACCGGCATAATTGTAGATTGATTTCATAATTTTAACCAAAACTAATACCGATATAAATTTGAAATATGCTGTATTTATTACCATTGGACTTTCTACACCTGTTTTGAATCTGGTGGTACCATGTTATCCAGAGCTAGGATCAGATTAGTACGCATGTCTGTTCTACAAGACTTATACCCTGAGTATATTACTGAATGATCGTGATGTTACTGCCTTATTTATAAAGTCTTACACCTCGTTGTCCATTCTGATTGGCCTTTCGTGGCAGTCAGCCGCAATGTCCATGAGAATCATTGAATAGCACACTCAGGCTGGTGACAGAAAAATATATTAATTATGAAGGTGAAAGAGGCATTTAAAGTAAACACACTAAGCCATGAAGTCTCGATGATATTCTGTAATTGGCTTTTGTCAACCTTCATGATCAGTTGCCAAGAATTCAACACACATGGGTTCCACTTCCATAATGATTTGTTAGGATAGTTCAGTGTTATCCTATTGTTACTACAGTACTACGGTAAACTTATCTACATGCTTCTCAAGATGCTCTATATTAACAAAAAATCAATATTGTGTTATTTTTCAGTTTTAAGGACGGAAATAACGACCATGAAGTTGGATATCAATGAGTGATAACCAGCAATTCAATGAAGGTGTTGACGGGATTACTGTTTATTAGTTCCGCTCGAAAACTATATCTACTTTGCAGGTAAATATCAACTCTTCCAATAACCACACTAATGAAATACAAGCTATGGGATCAGTGATTGTGACTGAGGAAGTTGGTCTTCACTTGCTCATTAACCTTAGACCTGGTCCGTCATCCGGCCCTTATGGGTTACATTCATGATTGCTGTCATAACTCAAGGACAGTATTTCAGAACCACTCAAGATACTATTCAATACGCGACTTTCTCAAACACAGCTTCTTAGTGATTGGAAGGATCCAATTATTAGCTTTAAATTTAAGCATGTAAAGAGAGATCCTTCATAACTACCTATTGGTCTTATTAGCATACTGGTTCGAATATTTGACAAAAATAGTTTGGACTATGTTACCTTGCTGTATGGAATCGTAAAATCCGTTAACTCCTGGGATATCCGAATTATGGAAGTAAAATTTTATGACTTACTAGCTGCGACAAATGATCGTTATTGAAACTGAAGGTATGACCTTGACTAAGGGACAGAACTTGGTGACCTTGTCGGGACATTTGTCAACACTCTATAATTTAATGTAGCTTTAAAAATTTCATGTCTTCTCTGCATATGTATTAGGTGTTTTTTCCTATAAGGTGATGTTTTTGTCTTGTTTGGTTATATTAACCCCATTTTCATTTGTTTGATTGCAACTAAATTGTATAGGTCTTTTGCCTGAACCCAATGAATTATCATAAGTACTTTGGTCATCTATGTTTTCGAAATTCTGGCTTTAAACCCAAATCCTTATTTAGAAGACGTTACCTCACTAAAGGAGCTGTGACACGTTGGTATAATAGACTTTATTTATCCTTATTAACAGGAAACTTGAATACTTCTGACTCCCAAAAAAGTGAAGGGAATATTTCAAACACAGATATGTCCGAGAACCCCTCAGATTATGTACATCCCGAAAGCGGTGAGAGAGGAGGACCTCGTGGCCCAGAACCAACGCGATATGGGGATTGGGAACGTAAAGGACGTTGTATCGACTTCTAATTATAATGAACAATATCCGGACTAGTTTTCGCAGTAACTTTGTGCATGATGTTAATTTTAGTCGAATAAATGATTGTTAAAAACTTTTCACTTTTCTACTTTTCTTATACCGATATCCATTCGTAATATTTTGACGATTTTAGGTCGAATAATGATCAGATGGCTTCAGAACAGAGAACTAACTTCAATTCACAGTGTTCCATCTATGGATCTCAGTTGTGTGTTGAAACCTTATCACTTACGACAGATATTGCCTCCGGACGCATCAGATGATATATTTCTTGGTTTTTCAGCAGACGCTTGCTTCTTGATTTCATACAAAAATGATTTCAAACACCATGTAATTAGGTTTTGGCTCTTTCCACCACGTTCTACCGGAAATCTTGGCCCGAAGCTTGCTCTGTATAGTGAGAGAAAATTCTTAAGAACAAGTTACTGCCCAGACCTTCATAACGTTCCGTGTGTTAGGTTTGTACAGTCCCTTGCGGTTTCCAACTCCTTTTTACTTCTTGCATGCAACGTAAGCACTCTCACAGCTGATGTAATCTTTTCAGTTTTTAAATTAAGACGGGGATTCACCCATAGTGATTTATGCTCATCTTATCAAGTAATGGCTTTTTATTTTAATGGCTACAGGTCTTCTCATATAGTTATTGGCCTTTACATGGACACTTCTTAGGGCATAGGTTACAGAAAGTTATTACCTAGATTCATGTCCGTTTGGCCTATCTACTTTATGCGACCTGTATTTTGGTTTGTAGTTAGACACCTTGAGTTATTTCAGGGATTGTTTTCCTATTTGGAGGTTTTTTACGATCGTGAGGTATATAAATGATACATCTAATTACCGAAGTTTGTGGTCGAATCTATTCCTCCAAACGTCGTTAATAACAATGACAGTTTATTTGATATGGTTTTATCCCTCTGAAAGTAAATGGTTCTTAGGAGCTGACATGTATTAGTGCCTAATCTGAGTTCAAAAATCTAATTGTTGTGTGTGTATTATCTTTTCTGGGAGGTTTCATACACACTGATTTTATAAGTTAGGAAATCTCAATATTCATTCAAAACCATAGCTTGACTCTTATGGTGTGCAACTGCTAAAGCTGTTCATAATGTCATTTTTTTGTCAAAAAGGAAACATGTGCTTTAATAATCACCGCTAATACAGCCTACAACAACACAGGAAAAGCATGCAGATAATTGAAAGGATTTTGAAGTGAACAACGAATTTTTTTTAATAGGACGGCTTAAGTCTTGGGAATGTAGTGTGCTTAGAAGGTAATTAAAGTGTTGATGTTTTCTTGTCAACAACTTTAAAAAACTCGATTTATGTAGCTAGACAAGCTTACTTTTTCGTTTTGGCGACGTCAAATATGTTTCGTATTTAAGTGTTTGATTTCACACAAAGCAACAAATAACTGCAGTTTCTCGTTTAATGTTGGTCGCCATAAACTGCCTTATCTCGATAGGTGTTAAAAGTTTTCACTACGTACAAGTTCAGAACAGCGTTGAAAGAAACTCTAACGTGATAAATATTATCTATACAGCATTTCTTTTTCTCTGTTTTTAATATCTAGAATGACGGCAGTGGGTTTGTTGCTGCATTTGGTCTTATGCCAGATATAGATTGTGATATCTGTTCCGAGGTATCATCTGCTCGTGATCGCTTATCTAATAAATCCACTTGCAGTATTCATTCGCACGTGCTACCTCTTAATCTCGATATATCTTTTGCTCAAGAATCCCCCATCCCAATAAGAAGTAACAGAAATTCTTTGAAATTTCAGAAGACTTCATATCGGTGCACTTCTCATTTCGTACCTCCATGTTTAAGTTCATTTGACGAGAACTCTTGTTCCAATAACGCAGATCTTTGTGGCGGCTCTTGTTTCACTTCGACTGGTTTGCCGATTGGAAGGATTCATGTTGGTGTTTCTCCGAATACTGGACATTTACGAATTGCGTGGGCTAATCCAGATGCACAAGTTAAAATCATGTCCTGTTCTTTCAAACCTACAAATTCCGGTGACTTTTCCTTTTGCACATTACCCAAGGTATTATTATTAACCGTATTTTCGCTTTTCCATTAATAGAAACTTTCGTGGTTTTTCTAGTGTGAATGAAATCAAGAAAAGTTTGAAGAGTTTGATCCTGTAAGTAGTCTTGCTAAATGATGAATCCTAGGATTGCAAAATAACCTCTTCATAATGTCTGGTATATCTTTAAGTTTGGATAGTTTTCATTTAGGGTTCGTATTAACTTCAAATTCTGAACAACCTTTCAATACTAGTTTCAGATTTATCAATAGTAGACATTTACGATCAACATGAAACTTCAGTGCTATGCCATTCAGCCATTGAACCAGATCACAACCTTCCACATATGTGCTATAATATTGATATCATGTAATATTGTCGATTTAAACCTACCTAAGAAGTATCTAGTTATAGTGAAATAACTATTCGATGTGTCCTGGATACCATTTTTATAGGTAGTATTTTGGTGACACATCTTTCACCTGAAACATCAGAACCGGTGTTATAGTTATGTCAACTAATTGTAGTAGTTGTGACAAGTGCTTAAATTAAATTTTGCATCATAGATCGATTTCATCAAAATTACTTCTGTTATTAAAATCACTTTATTTCTAAATATTCGGATTCTGCGGATTCTCTTTCTAATGTACTCAGGGCACGTCCACATCAATCGGAAATTACCCTGAATCATTGATTTATAAACCTCCTCTTATCACACATAATTATTGTTCAACGTGCTATTCGTGGCCGGATGAGAACGAATTGTGTCAAGAAAAACATAACTCCTCAGTAATATCTAGATTAAATTCTTCGAAATGCATTTTTTCCCAAGATTCACTGAATGTTTATTTGGTTAGTGATGCTTCAGCATGGCCGGATAATCACTCAAATCTACTTGTGAGTTCGGTCGTATGTTTTCTCTAACAAGTTTAAATCATATTTTCATTTAAGGTTTTACTATTAACATAATTTGGAAACTACTCCAGTTCCTACAGTTGTATTTGCTGTGTTGTTATACATTCCTGGTGAGTCATCACTTCAAACTTTGTACGATTATTGCTTAAGCTATTCTGACGACGTAGGATCTAAAATTAGTGTACAGAGAAAGCTTAAACAATAGTCAGTCAGTCAGTCAGTAACAACGTAGAACTTCGTACGTACGTACATCAGTTCGAGTTGCCACACCACATTAGCACAGAGATGCACTTGTCGATTCAAATCCCGTAGTGGTAGAGGTAATCAGAGTATAAGCAGTAATCGGGAAGATTAGGGTTTGGAGATGTTATTTAAAGAGTATCATTATTAATATAAACTAGATGTAGATAAAACAGCCAGTTGGTCATCACCGACATAGAGTCCGGTACGGGTTTGGATTAACTCAAGTTTTCATACCACATTAGCAGGATGTGATGGATGTAACATTGTGAAGAGTGAATACGTCTACGCCGTTGTGGATGATTCTGAGCCATCTCACATAAAGTCTCTTATTTCTGATTGTGTTTATCGTATGGGTCAAAACCAAGTGGTTCAGACCATGAGTTAACAAATTCACAGGATCCTTACATCGTTAGCAAGAGATTCTTGGGTCTTCGTGACACCTGTTGCCAGATTCGACATAGGGTTCGGACATTTAAAGCCACAACCCGACCGTTGTTGTTACCTTGACGTGGTGGTCGGGCTTGCCTATCGTGATGAAGCAACCGAGCTATACTGGCTGGAACAACCGTTCCTCAAGGTCCTACCATGTCAGACAGGTCGGTTGAAGAGCGGTAAGACTAAAAGCAACAAACCCAAGGTCCGAAGGCGAAGTCGTACTGCTGACTGTACAGAGGTGTGACAGCAGTAAGGTGTTTCCTTCAGACAACCAGCATGACAGCGATGCTGCCTTCCCACAAGGAGGGGTGGGGTTAGAAAAGGTCGACCCTAAAAATGCACACCTCACCTTACCTCACGGATTTCCGTCTCCGGCGGTAAGGCCCTTTGAAGAACGGAGCTAACACGTCACAAACCTCTCACGAAAAGGCCGTGCGCGACCGGCCTCAAGCAGTTGTCCCTTGGGCACTGCGGTCACGCTCTCAGGTCACTGAGACCACCTCTAATCCAATTTCCTTTTCAGGTACCTCCAGAAGAACCCTTCCACGGTGTGGGCAACCGGGAAGTGATAACCGCCCTCATACCTCTAACAGCACTCAAGACCACTGTATTCATAATCAACCTTCCTCTTCAATTCCTATTATTCCTCCTACATCGACTTTCAACCCTAAACTTCCTCCTTCGGCTTCCTCCTCAAGTGTCACCATAGCCAACGATTCTAGTGCTCAAAACCTGTCCCAGGTCTACTGAAACCTCGCTCCAAACTACACATTGGAGCCTTCAACGTACGCACCCTATGTCAAATCGGTCAGCAGGCTTCCTTGGCTAAAACCCTAGAGTCTCTTTCCATTGATGTATGCTGTGTCTCCGAAACACGCATACAGGATTCCAGTGTGGTCATTCACTTGACCTCACCTCGGCAAAACGGAGAGCCAACGAGATACACCCTTCGTGTATCTGGTGACCCGATGGCCAGTTCTCGTGGACTGGCAGGTGTAGGCATAGCACTAAGCATGAGGGCGGAACAAGCACTGCTAGAGTGGATCCCCGTCAACAGTCGTCTATGTGCTGTTCGGCTAAACGGCTCCGTAAGAACTCGGAAGGATAGGGACACACGTCGTTGCCTTTTCGTCGTTTCTGCCTACGCTCCCACTGACTGCAGCTCAGATGAAGTGAAAGATGAATTTTACAGAAAGCTGTCCGAACTTCTTCAGAAAGCTAAACGCTCAGACATAGTACTCGTAGGGGTGACTTTAATGCTCAGATAGGTAGTTTAAACCAAACAGAAAGGCATTTAGGTGGATATTTTAGTATTCCGGCACAGCGAACAGATAATGGTGATCGTCTGCTGCAACTGTGCTCAGACAATCGTTTATTTTTAGCAAACACAAATTTTAAGCATAAGGAGAGACATCGTCTAACATGGCGACCCCCTACACCAAACCAACGATGGACTCAAATAGACCATATTGCCATCAGTCATCGTTGGAGAGGGTCGGTAGAAGATTGTCGCTCATTCTGGAGTACCTGCTTGGACTCCGACCATGCCCTAATACGGGCACGCATCTGCTTGCGCCTCACTGGACGCAAAAAAGCCACATTAAAAAGACCCATTAGAACTGAGTTGAGTAACGAGAAAACCAAAAGTAGGTTCCAGGAACAACTGAGGTCACACTTAGGTAGTTCTGAAGACGAGGCTGACCCAGATGTTGCTTGGAAAGACATACAAGCAGCTGTGGAAACAGCAGTGACATCTATTAGCGACTTAAACCACAGAGTTACAAAGAACCAGTGGATTTCTTCAAAGTCTATCACACTGATGGATTCTCGCAAACTCGTCCCATCAGGTTCCGAACATGATGAAGAGCGACAACAAATCAGATCTAGGTTAAGAAAAAGTCTAAGAAACGACCGTGAGCAGTGGTGGGCAACGAAAGCAAAAGAGATGGAAAAGGCGGCGACTATAGGGAACACAAGACAGCTTTACAGACTAATAAAAGAAACTGGAATTAATAAGTCAAGTGTAAGTGAGATTATTTCGGAAAAAGGCGATACTCTCATCTGCTCCCAGTCCAGACGTTTAGAACGATGGGCGGAACATTTTAGAGAACAGTTCAGCTGGCCTTCAGCTACTCTACAACTACCCTCCATTCCCAGACAGGTGAATGGAACATTGAAGTAGGTCCCCCAACTCTTGCTGAAGTTCAAAAGGCTATAGTTAATCTGAAACGAGGAAGGGCAGCTGGTCCAGATGGACTGGCTCCAGAAGTCTTTAAGGATGGTGGTCCAATTTTAGCGATTAGGTTGACTAATATTTTAGCTAAAATCTGGGAGTTAGACGTTATCCCATCTGACTGGTCACAATCACTTATCGTCCCAATATATAAGAAAGGGTCAAAATCATCCTGTGACAACCACAGAGGGATTAGTTTAACTAATATAGTATCTAAAATACTAGCCTCGATAATTATCAGACGCCTAACTAAGACTCGTGAACTGCAAACACGAGAGAACCAAGCTGGCTTTAGACCTGGTCGTGGCTGCATCGACCACATATTCACCATTCGTCAGGTTCTAGAACACAGGCATACTTATCGGCGTCCGACAATGGTGGTCTTTCTTGACTTAAAAGCAGCATTTGACTCTGTAGACCGCGAGATTCTGTGGCAGTGTCTGTCATTGAAAGGCGTACCTCAGAAGTACATAAACCTTGTGAAGGCTCTTTACTCGAACACTACTAGTCGAGTCAGAGCTTATGGCGAACTGTCATCTACCTTTGCAACCTCAAGTGGTGTCCGTCAAGGCTGTCCACTTTCCCATTTTTGTTTAACTTCATCATAGATCTACTGATGGAAATAACTTTCTCGTCGACTGAATTCTCGGGTATTGATCTCCATCCAGGAGGTCCACTTATCGACTTAGAATACGCAGATGACATAGTCCTGTTTGGTGAAGACGCTGACAAAATGCAGAGTCTTCTGGTAGCACTAAGCAACAATGCCAGAATGTTTGGAATGCGCTTCTCTCCCTCTAAATGCAAGTTGTTGCTTCAGGACTGGTCTGCGTCAACACCTGAACTAAGGATAGGGAGTGAAGTAGTCGAACGCGTTGACAACTTCACTTATCTTGGAAGTCTGATCAGCCCTAATGGGTTGGTGTCGGACGAAATCTCAGCACGGATTCGAAAAGCTCGTTTGGCTTTTGCCAACTTACGTCACCTTTGGCGAAGGCGAGATATCCGTCTATCAATAAAAGGACGAGTATACTGCGCGGCAGTCCGTTCTGTTTTAATTTACGGCAGCGAAACATGGCCATTAAGAGTAGAAGACACTCGTAAGCTACTAGTATTTGACCACAGATGCCTTAGAAATATTGCTGGCGTCTGCTGGGATCACCGGGTAAGTAATAGTGAGGTTAGACGCAGGGTATTAGGGAATGATGGTAAATCAGTTGATGAGGTTGTGAATCTTCATCGACTGAGATGGTTGGGCCACGTGTTACGTATGCCTGAACACCGATTACCACGACGTGCAATGCTATCCGGTATTGGAGATGGTTGGAAGAAAGTTAGGGGCGGCCAAACCAAAACGTGGCATCAGTGCTTGAAGTCACTAACTTCTAGTCTGAGCCATGTTGGTAGATGCAGACTACTTGGTTGGGGTCCGCGTGACTATCGTAACCAATGGTTGGAGACTCTTGGTGACATGGCTCAGAATCGATCACAATGGCGTCGGTGTATACACTCCCTGTCTTCCCTTAAACTAAGAGATTAAAATCACTTCATATCTTTCTTTCTACGAACCAATTCTTTCTTCTTGTATTATATCTCTATATGCAATCTTTCTCTTATATATTACCACCTTTGACCTAACCACTGCTATGAATCCGGTGTTCATCTTGTTGTGCTGATGCGGTATGGCAACCTGGACCGATGCACGTATGTGCCTGGTCCTACGTTGTAGCTGACTGACTGACTGACAATACGTAGTTTGAAGCTTGGTTTCAGGAGACTTGGGATAGCATTGTGTGAACTCGAATAATCAATATTGACGGTATACGTAGAAATTGAAGAAATAAGAGAAGGGTTCATGGTGCGAATAAAAAGCACTGTTGGAAATAAAGAATGATATCATAGGATATAAAATGGAATGCAAGGGTTAAAACTAATGGTCGGATCTTAATTTTTTATTTTAGTTAGCTCAAAACCCATTTGTTTCCCGGTCAGTTTTATTGTCTTTTGATCTCAATTTATTTGACGGATGGTATCAATTACACAGTCTCGTGAACAGTTATCAGATACAGACGAAATATATCATTGTTCATCATTTATGGATCGGAATTCTATTTGTCACTTTACTAACTGATATGTGCTCATGGAAAGATAGAAAAGGGATGAAAAACATTAAATAATAAAGCCTCCAGATTTAGAGGATGATAGCGAACGAATGCATCTACGTCATCGCGACTAGTCTTACAGCAAGAGGATACCATCCATATACTGACCGTGAAAAAGTCTTGGGATGGTAGACTTAAACCACTTATACTTGTTTCAAATTTGTTTCCAAAATGTCATTTTTTTTCAATATTTCTGACAATTATTTGTTCTAGCCGGATGGTGCTGAAAGGATATACCACAACTGTTCAGGAGAAAAATATTCTCACAATATTCATTCATCAAAGCTTTATGTAAAAAGTAGGATACTTCCAGACACTTGGGTCCCGTCACTGTTATCCAGACGTTCATGTTTCTTTTCATGTATTCTGCTGACATATCTTGCAATGTTGCAAGATATTCGAGCTTCTTATTTGCATTGGGTGAGTATACTATTTTTCAATTTCCCTAAGTGCAGTTTCATATTTGTATGAGTTGTTTTCGAGCAGTTCTTCAGAGAAGCTTGAGAAATAGTATGTCCATCGACAAATGGAATTAATTTTGTTTGCAAAGGTAAAATCACTCGCTTGTTCAATGCTAATTGATGTTTTGATTAGTTATTATAAAGTTAGGAAATCACATGGTCAAAATAAATTGTTAAGATATCTGAAACACTCACTACATTCATATATGTTTTCCATGGAAGCAAAATCTTTTTCGCCAGTTTTTTTCTTCGAATATACTATTAACTGTCTATCCATGTTGCCTATACAAGCTATAATTATACCAAAAACCCTATAAATATTATTTTAAGCCACTTAAATCATTTGGAAAATATGTTTCTCTTGGAACTGATTTATCATACTTATTCAGGTAGATAAATTAATCTGAAATTTGAATTCATGAGTCAATCTAAGCTAGACCACCATTGAAAAGCTAGAGGCACTGAACGGCCGTCTCGCCCAGGTACGATACTCTCCAATAGTGCGCATCCTCGATCCCGCACACGGAAGTCGAGCCCATGATATTCGTTCTCGCGCACGAACACGTAACCTCTAGACCACTGATACGGCATCCAATGGTATTAATGTCTAACTTCAATCGATCCATGATCTTTCGCAACCCTCCATTCATTGTCTGCCTCACACCTGACATGGATTGTATTCCACTGGTCACGGCTTCTTACTAGAACACCAAGAAATCCATCTTGAAGCTAGTCACTAGTGAGTACATGGTGATCTAGCTTAGATTGACCCGTGAATTCAACCCTGAAAATACTACAATCTTCACAAACATCCATCCTGGTAAAATTGATATTCCTCATGAAAAGTACTTTTCATGATGATATAGTACTTTTTAAAAGTTGTATATGTATGTAAGTGTTGATCTTGAACTAACATTTTTGTCCTACCCAGTTTGTTTAGTTTCGTCTCATTCGTCATCCATGGTTCAGTTTTGCGGTTTAATGAAGTAACAACTCAGTCTGTTATTGTATTAATGAAAGTAAATGAACAAATGAGCTGAGAGTGTTAACTAATCGTTTTTAACAAGCTCATTGTTATGATATTTTGTTCACTTATATATATTTAATTCTGGTGACTGTTTAGCAGGTTGTTCCTCTCTAGGTATTCTTAGTAAAATATTTTCCGATGTCATACGGAAATAATCATGTCAAAGATAATGTTTAGTCAGAATATTTGAAGTACGTTTGATCCACCTTTCTTTCTGTAAATCAACTTCTTTCTATTGTAATTCTGCTACTGAATAATGAAGAGTAGTATAGGTATCACTGTCAAGGCTCGATTTGATAGTTTCAATAAATTAAGCATTGGGTGGAAAGTTAATAGGAAATATATTTTTGTTTTATCTCAATGAGTAGAAAAGTTTTATTTATGACATTTAGTGACTTAATGTAAGACACTTCTTCGGAGTAAATAAATAACCGAATTAAATTCAGATTATAATTGAAGAGTAGTACGTTTAGCTGATTAATAATAATTCCCCAAACCAACGACCACTAACGACTTTTTTGTTAGGATAACCGAAATTTATTTAGTGACCGTAATCTCCGTTTTTTAAATATATATATATATATATATATATATATATATAAAAATACATTTTAATCTCTACACGCTCTTTCTCTACACCCTTTTGTTTACTCTTTCTGTTTGTTTTTTTGTTCACATTTAGACATTAGTATCACGTAATAATAGTAAGATGAACTGTTTAATTAATTCATCAGATTTAATGTATCCTATTTATCAAAATGATCCTGTAGGTGATTATGATAGTGATTTGAATGGAAATAATTCTTCCATATCTTCATCACATGGTAGTTCAGACGATGATGAAACTGCAGCCATGGTAACTAGTCCAGATAGTTTAGATTCAAATTCATCTCCTGAAGATTTATTAGTTCATCGACTTTCTGGTCAGTGTCACACTTCATTTGATCTTACAGAATGGGAAGAGTATATAGCACCTAATGTACAAACTGTTATCAGTGATGTGAATTCAAATTTTAGCAGAATAAGTGAAAAAACACAACGTCGTGTGTTTGCGCATTTGGAAGAGGTTGTATTCGATGTGAGTAATACTACAACATGATGTAAAATAAATATTTTTCGTTGTAACCAAGCCCTATATATATTTGAGATTTTTCACTTGGCTTGTTAAATTCAATTATATTTTAATCGTTTGACTAGTTGTATTATAAATAAATAATTCTTATTGATTTTTTATTGTGGAATTCTAACAACCTGGATACATAGACCGTCGAGATCTTTAGGAGAAATTCGTATACGATACAAAATGCGTTAGTTAAATTTAAACATTGATTATTTTGATAGTGTGATCCAGTCCATCAACTAAGAGTTGGATTTGTGAAATAGATATATATCCTTTGCTTTGTCTTTTATTGAATGTATAATCATCAACTAGTAAAGGCTCTAGTGCATTATTACTTAAGTTGAGTTTTGAAGTTATTAGCTGTTTACTGAGGAAGTAAGGTTGAAAATATTCAAATCAAGTGTATTTTACCAAGTAAAGGAGTTAATTTGATGAAATACGTACAATGACCGACATGGTTATTGTTATCCGGTTACTTTACAAATTAATGCATAAAAGACTACTTATCTTACTTAGTAACATGAAAATAACTTTTATGAGAAATTAAAATGTCAATACAAATGTGATTTGTTATTGAAGTAGTTTAAATTAAGCTTATTACAACTTATTTTACTAGTGTTATTTTTATTTTATAGATTCCACTTAATAGGATGCTTTATGAAAAAAAATGTACACATAACAGTTCTTCTCCAATACTTGCTCCTTTCTTCCCTCCTGACGAACCTGATTTACTACTTGTTTACTATATCAAAAATAATCCTGATTCGAATTTATACGAAACATCTGAAGAGTTTAATGCAGTAAATCTTATTGAAATTATAGATGTAACTACTGGATATCGAATTCCCATACCATCGATAAATCAATCATCCTGTGAGCATACATGTTCAACTGGATTTAGTTCTTCTGTTCTCAATAAGCTTACATCTTGTTGTCCTCAAAACTACAAAGTTTCATCATCTCATTACAGAAAAAAATTGATTCATGAACTAAATAATTGTCTTATGGCTGGGCGATTAGAAAGTCTGAAATTGTTAGTCGATCCGCAAGGTGGCTATTCTGTATATTGGTAGATTGTACAGAATTTTTTGTTACAAACTCTCTAACTAGATCAATGTATCATCTGTTTTCTTTTTCTTTACACTTTTTGCTACAAAATAAAATAGAATTCTGCTACTTGGAGTTTTATTTCGTTTGTTCATTGTATGTTTGTGTTTACATGTATAAGTGTATTTTTATACACAATGTCAGTTTCTTAGATGAAAAAAATCAGTTCCTAATGTTAGCCATGTTTTCTGGTCGGATATGATGCTTCTCTCAGCTCAGCTTTAATAATTAGAATTTTCCATTTATCTTAGTCAATATTTTGAGTAAAACTGGGACGAAATATCTGGGTTCTATGAATATTCCGTGCTATCCTGGTCTTACGCTCCTACTTTATGGTATGCTGAGGGGTCTAATTAGTTCATGGAGGATGAGTCATTCTCAAAGCTGTACATTTCTAATATATGCCACTCTTGATTTTTAGTTCGATTTTGGTGCCTTTAGTGAAAAAAGAGATCAATAGCAGAATTTCAGTCTAATCAAATGGTAATATAGATGTATAGCGATATATATATATATATATATATATATATATATATATATATATATATATATATATATATATATAATATCTAAACTTAAAAATAATTACCACTTACTTAAGGTTTACACAATAATCACAAAGAAATCTCATGCACTGTTACATTGCTTAGTAGTTAACCATATATACTATAAATAAAATCAACGTAAACCTCTTTTCGTGATCTATATTTAACAGCTTTATAATAAAATGAAATTTAAGCACTAAACAAAACTAGGGAACAGTGTGAGCCGATCGAAACTGCTATACATATAAAACGCGTTGTATTGCTGTATTTGTGGCCCCACTTCTCACCAATCTAGTGTCCATTTCAATATTTATAATAGTTCCTAGGTTGGTCCATTCTCTACCTTATAAATCAGCATGAGTTATACTAATAATACCATGTCTTCAGTATTTCTGATACATTCTGTTACACGTCTCTGCAAAACTTCTATCTCTCCGAGTCCTTGAAATTATTCAAACCTCTTTAGCATACTAGTAGTCTAATATAAATGTATGCTATAATACCTGTACACAGTCTGTTCGACCTGTTCAGTTCTCAAAAGAATTATTCACTTTTATATTCGTTTATCGTCTATCATAAATGAGTTACTCTTAAACCGAACAGATATACTATATCTGCGGAAAGCGCAAACATAAGTTAGCATTCTAAATCTTGTGAAGTTTGTGGTAAATTTATTGATCATTCGTTTCAGTGAGATAAAAATTCCACTTTGAGCATAATAAGGGTTGATTTAGTGAAAATAGTATCTAGCCCTTCATTAATCTACACGAACACCCAAGTTTTACAATAATTAATAAAATAAATATCACTCAAAGTGTGCTAGTGGTGAGTTTACTAACCATCAAAATAAATTTCATCTCAAGAATTAGGGTGAAAAACAACCTGGTAGTGTACAAATGTTTTATGATGTAAATTGGTCCTTTTTCAGTAGATTGATCACAAAATACATAGAATCCAACAGTAGCATTCAGTGGTTAAATATTAACAGTAAGCCAAAGAGACAAAAGTTCTGGCAGAAATAGGGAAAACAGATCATTTTTGCATCGTCCCAGTCCATTGGATATTGTTGTTAAATCAAAAAGGTATGGTATGTTGTTGGCCAAAACAATTAGATTCTGCACCTATGTTTGGGTAAAACATCACTTTATCAAGTTGAATACCAACAACTCTGTTTGTGGTTAGTAAATGTTTCAGGAAACTACAACAAGCTGACTTGTGCGATAAGCAAGTCTTAAGTGCTTCCTGTAAGTTCTTTCGATATTCAGTGTTATTGAGTGGATATCAGGATAAAATACCCTAATATCCTTTGTTCAGTCATAGTATAAGCCTTTCCAGTATGCGGAAATGGATTTGCCGAATTGTGTTCATTGCACCTGGTCTTGCAAGTATATTTAAGCTTGAAAGTGAACATTGGGAAGGAGAAATAAAAAATACAGGGTTATTTTCATAAGTTCTTATACGATGTCTCTAATGATATCGCAGTAGTTTTGTAAAGACTTGTCACATTAGGCTATATATATTAACATATTTTGGATTTAAGGCAAATGTATCTGTGTAGAGCTATGATAAAGGGACAGTTAGTAAGATAATCCACCTGATTTCTAGTTTTATTTAATTTCTTTTTCCTGTCATCAGGTTTATTGTGTTTTAGATAATTATGATTAATATTTAGCAACTATCTGGATGTTATAGATCATCCGGTTATTCCAACGTTTCATTCATCCAGAGTAATTACTAATTAACATCTTGTTTGGACCAAGGAAATACTAATTCATTCAGCAAATCTCGTTGTAATATCAATCATGTTCTCCTTAATATATATTTATATGGTGCACAGTGTCATTATCAATTCATAGTCACTATATTACTGAGGAACAAGGGACCTTCAAGTATAATCATAATCAAATGTCATGAACCTTGTTTCGACTTTAACTTGAATTATCAATAAATTAATGATTTATATGTGGCCACTTTTTTGTAATTGAAAGGTAAACTATGTACTCCCATTTTTAATCGTGATATCAATCAATTGGTCTGTAATGCCATTCCATTCAATACAGAGTACATCTGTCACCTAACTGAATTTATTCAAGGAATGGTTTCCACAAGGATAACTTATTGTTTAGTCAAGTAAACGAGTACTTTTTGAAAAGTTTTCTGTACTATGATGAAAAAACGTTCATTTTCTTATTATCTATTAAACACGTTATCTTGATACCTACACATTGAGCATTAAGCAGTCATATGATTACAAAAATTATAAAAACTACGACTTTGCTAATAATGATACTATGAATTATAAAATTGTCCAGGTCATACTTGTTCAAATTTTCGATTTTATCAAGATCTGTATTTTTTTGCTTTCCACTTGTAGGTTTCATTGGGGAGACACGCATTTAACCAGTCCCCTTCATTGAATGGTTATTCATTATGAATGAAATTAATTTTTTTGATCCGTTGGAAGGTAATATATACTAATAAATAAATAAATTAAACATTTTTCTGTTTACATGTAGGTAATGATACATTACCATTATATTGTGTCTGTTGTCTTGACTATGGTTTTCTACCTACCATATTATTACATAGTCTTCCTGTGAAGGTGCAACGTTTGATTGTAAATCGTTTAGCTCACACAAACCTACCACAATTCATTCTAGCAACTCATAAAGGAGGTCATTGGTCGTTGGTCCAATTACACTATATCAATCATAATATTAATGATAATAATAATAATAATAATTCACAAACAGTTCCGTCAAATTCTACTCCATCTCTGGATGAATCTCATATGGCTAATTGTTTGGATAGTTTGAACCAGCTAAATGATGTTGATTCAGAGTAAGTGTGAATTCTGTGATATTTTTAGTGTTATTATTTCTGTTTGGATCATAAGCACAAATTTAATAAATTTCATGACAGACTTTAAAATAGTGTGTACGATATTAGGGATTATTGTGACTTCCTTGATTCAGTACTCATTAATTTTATTATCGTGTCTTACAGCAATCAGTCCATTATTCATTGTCACACTTTTATTTTTCGAGTATTTGTGAAGTTAAAATTTCTAGTTTTTATCAAAAACCATTGTTTGCAGCCATATAAGCATAATAATTTGACGTTTAGTTTATTCCCTTACAGCCGCTCTTCTTTTAATCAATATTGTTGTATCGCGAATGTAGCTTCAATAATTGACCTTTTGTTGAATGATAGGTGTTAAATGCTAATGGAATCCAGTAACCATGTTTAAGTTTTTGTATACTAAGTGTTTGGTTGCACTAGCTGCATAAGTTGGGTATATTATCCGAATGTCTAAATACAAGCTGTTATATCAAGCCTAGTTTAAACATATAATCCAGTGATTGAAACCCCTCGACATAATGATCAAAGACAACGTGTTCCTGTTATGTTTTGATGTTGGTAAAATGTAGTGTTTTTTAATCATCCTAAGCAAAAATCTAATCGGTCGTCAAGATAAGTCTCATTTATTGAACATGAAATGCTATTCAAAGAGTTGTTCACATCAGGACATAGCTTAACTATTCAGATAGTATTCGGTCATTAGATTGATTGTTGACTTTTATCTTAATATCTTGACTGTCTTAGGGTTATCGTAAATGAAAGTGGTTTTTAAAATTTTTCCTAACCTTTAGCAAACTATCTTTCCAAAACAATAATAAACTTGAATAAAGGTTCAATATGCTACTGACTGGTACACTCCACTGTACTTTGCGACTGGAGCTTTGCGGATAAAAGTGAGTGGTATGGGAATGTTGCATGACCTTTGTAGTTGAAGCATCACATCCCCGTGTAAGCATCACCGAGTGCTCTGTACTGACGTTTAGTGTAAGATTTTAGGTATGATGAAGTTGTTAGTCTACTTACGCACTACACTCCCAGCATCTAACTCGTTGCTCGGTGAAGTACTAGAAAAAAATCTACCTCTCAGAGGTTAGACTAAGATAAGCTCCCAGTTTATTAACTTACAGACTCCTAGATTAAAAAATTACAAATAGTTCTTGGTTTACTTTTCAAGATCAAAGCGGCATATTGATTCACTTGTTAAATAATTTGTCTTCAGTTCAAAATAGATGTCAGTAGAAAGGTACATTTATTTCTAATTCTTCTATAAGCTCTTGAAATCTCATTGTTGTATACAGTTTTATTCAATAGTTTAGTCAATATTATTTTAGTAAATCTGTTTCTGGAAGTTTTTTATAGTGTCTTCACTGCAAAGTGTTGTTTTTAAAATTTTGTCGATGCATTTATTATACTTCACTGTTAGATCACCTGTGTGCACAAATTGTGTATCATCAATTGAATTCAACCTAGATCCATATACTACTGCGTATTTTTCCGATTCTTATGTGAAATTCATGTTGACAACCAAAACACCAGACAAAAATTGGCACTGTCCATTT